TAAACCTGCTTTTTCCATAAAGCTATTTTTATTCTTTTAATTTTTATTTGTGAATTGCAAGATTATGATAATAATGGGCACTAGGTAGGTCTTAACTTCCCTCCAGTTTGGACTGTTTTGTACCTCCTCTTCCTTTCCCTACTGTGTGTTATTTTTTGCCAAGCAAGATATACACTTTTCATCTTACCAGGAATTTAATGCTGTCTTCTAGGCCCATGCACTTCTGTGCCATAGATGCAGAGCTGGGGTTGGGAGCTCATTTGTCAACTTCTCAATGAGAAGTCACTAGGTAGTCAGTTTCTTTCATAGGAATTAAGAAGCTAATTCTAAAATTCATATGGAATTGCAAGGGGCCCTACCAAAACGATCTTGAAAAAGAGCAATGTTGGATGACTCATAAGATTTTAAAACTTACTACAAAGCTACCATAGTTGAAACAGTGAAGCACTGGCATAAGGGTAGACATATATGAACCAGTGGAATGGAATTGGAAGATGAGAAATAAACCCTAACATCCCTATATCTGTGACCAGTTGGAACTCACAAGAGTGCCAGGACATTTTAATGGGCATAGAATAGTTTTTTTAAACAAATGGTACTGGAACAACTGGATATCCACACCCAAAGGAATGAAGTTGGATCCTTACTCCGCACCATACACAAAAAAATGACTCAAAGTGGATTGTAGGCCTGACTGTAAGAGCTTAAATGATAAAACTTTTAGAGGCATATGTAGGAGTAAATCTTTGTGAACATGGGTTAGGCAAAGCCTTGTTTGATACAACATCCAAAGCATAAGTGACAAAAGAAAAAAAGGAAAAAATTGGCATTCATCAAAATTAAAAACGTTTGTGTTTCAAAGGACCTCATCAAGAAAGTGAAAAGGCAGCCCACAGAATGGGCAAAAATATGTGCAAATCATATATATGAAAAAGACCTGTAACTTGGAATATATAAAAGACTCTAACAACTCAACAGTAAAAAGGCAAACCAGTTAAAAAATGGGCAAAGGATCTGAATAGACATTTCTCCAGAGAAGATACACAAGCAGCCAATAAGCCTTTGAAAACATGTGTGACATTATTAGTTATCAGGGCAATGCAAATCAAAACCACAAAGAGTCACCACTTCACACCCACCAGGATGACTATAATAAAAAGAAAGAAATGAAAAGTAACCGATACTGGGGAGTATATGAAAAAATTGGAAACCTTATACACTGCTGGTGGGAATGTAATGATGTAGTTACTGTGGAAATCAGTTTGACAGTTCCTCAAAAAGTTAAACATGAGTTACCCTATAAGCCAGCAAGTCCATGCCTAGGTATATACCCAAAAGAATTGAAAGCATACGTTCATGCAAAAACTTGTGCATCAGTGTTCATAGCAGCATTAGGCATAATAGCCAAAATGTGGAAACAACCCAAATGTCCATCAGCGGATGTGTGGATAATCAAAATGTGGTATAGCCATACAAGGGGGTGTTTGGCAGTAAGAAGGAATGCAGTACTGATACATGCTACTTCATGGGCGAATTAATGTCACATTGTGCCTAGTGAATGAAGACAGTCACAGAAGTTCATATATTGTATGATTCTGTTTATATAAAATGTCAAGAAGAGGCAAATTTATAGACACAGTAAGTGGAGTGGAGGTTGCCAGAGGCTGGGGGGAAGGAGAAAAGGGAATGACTTGAATGGGCATTTTCTTTTTGGAGTGATGAAAATGTTTTCAGATAGTGATGATGGTTGTAAACTCTGGATATACGAAAACCCTCTGAATTCTGTCCTTAAGAAGGTGAATTTTAGGATATATGAATTATATCTCAATAAAGCTATTGTATATGCATGCACGCGCGCACGCACACACACACACACACGTGTCAGTAGACCATCCCACCATTCTCCCTCCTCTAGGAAAATACCGTGTTACCACTCTGAATATTGAAATATGTCCCTTTCTGACATGGACATTGGGTTTTTGAAAACCTCGTTGACAAAATAATTCTTGGTTTAAAAGCTTTAATCTTCCAGAAAAAGTAAAATTATAAGATTTAGCCTCATGACTGGTCCTATTTTTAGGTTCAATAAAATGAAATAGAGAAAAGACTGTAACAGAGACAACAGTGAGTACTGTCCATTTTGTTTTGTTTTCCCTTGCTTAGAAATTTTCAGGGCCCTTTCCATACAGTTTCAAGGAAATGCATGTGGTTTTGCTTTGTTTTCTTGCACATAGTTATATACTAAGAGACATTTCCCCCTGCCTGTCTGTCCACATGCTCCGTTTTGGGGGTGTTAACAAGGCCCAAGTTGCTGACTACGACTCCTCAACCTTTCTGTGATCCCAAGAGGCATGGAGGAACCTGAATGCTTAAAGTAGTCAGAGCCTTTGCAATCTTTGACCTCTCAGCTGTAGTTAAAAGACTCTCCTTAGCTCAGAGTTTTTGTAATATTTACTGAGCTTTCACCATGTGCCAGATACCATGTTAGGTTCTGGAGGTAACAGGATGAATGAGACATGGCCCCTGTCCCCAGGGAGCTCATAGTCTTATCCTCACTGTGCCTAGGATAAATTCTTGCCAAGGGCCTTTCTAAAGCCACTAGGCAGGGGCAGGGGTAAGGGTTCAGGTTTCACCGGGCTTGCTTTCTTAAGCCTGCAGAACAGAAATGGTTGGGTGGGTGGGGGTTACTGTGTTCCTTTCTGCAGTCTTCATTTCTTTTTTTCTGTTCCCAACTCCCAGTGCCCTCTTCTAATTAGCCTCTCAGGAAAGACTTTCTGCAAGAATTTGGTGGCTGAATACAGAGTAGACTAGAATTTCACATAAGGGAAAGACCCGCGAGGTTGGCAGATGCTGTGATCCTTGTTCTTGTGTTTGGGAGTGTGTCTCTGTATTCAGGGAACACTGTAAGTGACAGTGCATACAGTCCTACATAAACATCTTACCGCATCGTTTTCAGAAATCATCTTAGGGAAATCAGAGGGTATCAAAATATTAATATTGTAGTGTTTGCATTCTGCTCATTAATTTTGTAATTAATTTTTAATTTATAATTGACTAATTGTACATATTTATGGGATACAGTGTGATGTTTCAATGCATACATACATTGTATAATGGTCAAATCAGGGTAATTTCCATATGTACTACTTTAAATATTTATCATTTCTTTGTGGTGCAGCATTCAAAATCTTCTTGCTATCATGAAATACACACTACTTTGTTTGCTGTGGCTATCATACTGTGTTACAGAATACATTCCAGAACAAATTCTCTGCCTATTCAGCCACATCGTACAGTCTCACAGAGTCCAGGTGGAGGCAGAAGCCACCGTAATGCCTAGTGAACTCAGGGTGGAAGGAAAGGGCCCTCGTGGCTCTGCGTCTGCCCCCGTGCTTCCTCCACAGGCTGCTGAGGCTGTCTGCCTGGAGGCTCCCAGCGAGCCTGCCAAGTTCACATCCCCAGAGGCCTGCCTGCCACCCTCTTGCCTCTGTTCCATAGCAGGTGGATTTCTTGGCTGCAAGCAACCCGGAATGGACTTTGGCTAATTTAAGAGAAAACCGCAACAAAAAGCTTTCTAGTCTGTGCACTTTTTTCACCAAGCCAAAGGAAAAGTTGACAGTCTTCGTTTCAAGTGGTGCCAGCTCTGCCCTGGGATCAACGCAGCCAGGACCAGTGGAAGTGGAGCGGGTGGGGGTGAGGGCGGGCTCTCTTCAGCCACTTGCTGCCTTCGCTCCCCTGGGATGCAGATTCTCAGGAGTCGCCAGAGCCTGGCCTGCCCACTCCTTGGCTGGCCGAGTGGACCAAGACTGCAGTCTCTCCAGGTCAGGGTGCTGTTGCGAGATGGGTAGGTGGGCACTGGGAACCGAAGGTGATGAATCTACTGTGCATCTTCTCAGACACGTGTGGAGACTACTGTGTTCTCAGCCCTCTGCTGGACACGGCTGTCAAGCCCGGGGGTGTGACCCCTTCCTCGGGCCTGCCCACACCGAGCCCGGAAAGGCTTCCATGCTCTCCCTCTTGCCAGGATCCTCTGCTCAGGCCCTGCTCTGGCATCCTCTGCAGTCCACTCCCAGAACTGCACCCAGGCATCTCCGCCTGAGGACGCTTTCCTGGCCCTCATTCCGCCCACTCCTCCTGCCCCTCCGGACTCATCATGGTCGTCCTCATCCATTCCTCCGTCCTGGTCCGCAGGCTCCATGAGGTCAGGGTTCTTGTCTGCCGCTCTTCTCTGCCCACCTCGCCTGGCCTGGTGGCTGGCCATCCCCCACCGCCCCATCAGTGGATGTCGTGCAGACTGAGCCAGGAGACACAGCGATGGGAAAAGAGACGGCCGGCCCTCACCCTGGAACACTCCTTGGGATTGTGTGACCGTGAAGGAAAAATGGTCCAAAGGATGGCCAGGTCGAGCGTGAATAAACTCTTTGGTACTTTTGTTTGTGTTGTGGTGGTGTTATTTATAGAGAACACACACTGGGGCTGGAGGCCCGAGGAAGTCTGTCCCGGGGCCCCCTCCCTTCTCAGGGCCCCGGCTTCCTCCCCTTCCAGAGAGCAGTCGGAGTTCCAGAAGAGACATGGCGCTCGCTGAGGCTCCCCCGGGTCTGGGCAGTTTGTGACTGGTGGGCTTGCCCCTGCCCTGCGCCCCAGTGGGTTGCCGGTCCTCCCTCCCTCGGAGGCTCCTCCTCCTCAGGCAGACCTTGCTGGGGCCGCCCACCCTGCATTCCCGTCACCCATCCCAGCTGCCTCGAGAGCTCAGGCCACAGCTCTTCCCTGGGCTGACATCTGCCTGGGATCCAAACCCGCGTCCCCCTCCTCAGCTGCCGCTTGCAGAAGCTGACGGTAGGGCCCGGTGGTGCCCGTCCTGTTTCCCAGTGCCCCAAAGAGCGGGTCCTCCTCCCCTGCCTCTGCCCCTCTCAGCCCTCCAGGTGTCCCTTCAGAAAATCACCCACGGGGCTGCAGAGAAGGGAAGGAGCTCTGAACTCTGCTCTTGTGCTTCTTCCCAGGTCACCAAGGAAAACAGAAACCACCTTCTGTCGGACATCGTGACGTGTATTCAGAGCAGCAGGAAGTGAAGACACATGCGCTCCTGCTTTGCTGCACGTGAGGGAAGTGCCTGGCTCACCAGGAGCCCAACAGGGACCCAGCCTGTGGAGGCTTTGTGCCCTTAGGGTTTTGAAACCCTGTAGGCTTTTCCGGGGAAGCTTGACAGCTGTTTTCCATAAAATGTTTAAAAGATCAAATTAGCCTTGCCGCCGGACTGACGGAGCAAGAGTAACAATCCACTGTGGCGTATTTATGCTGAAAGATTTGTTTATTTCCTCCTGCAGTCGTGCGCATGATTTGGGTAAATGATGAGATGAGGAATGCTTTCCGAGTCAGATGGAATTTTCTCCCATTGAAGTTCATAAGTATGTCCAGGGGAAGGGGAGAAGAGAGTTCACTACCTAATCGGTTTTGCATGCCATGAAAATTAAAGTCCTCTCCAGGTGCAGCTTTAGTCTCATGTAACTTCAAGTGGTAGCAGTGGTTTGATTTTTTTAAATTCTTGCTTAAAAAGAAAACCAGTGTAGGTTCTCTTCCCCCATCTCTCATTGTTTGCTCGCTGCTAATAAATAGAACAGAATTCTTGATGGTTGCAGACACGAGTTCTTGTGTGGGAGGGATGCACAGTCACTAGAAATGTTGACACCAAGGAACGAGGGCTCAGTTCTACAGGTTCACACGAGAGTCCTGCTTTGGCCAAGCTAACTTGGGCTCATTGTTTAGCCTTTCTGCAGGCTTTCCTTTCAGAAGCGGGGAAATGGTTGTCCTCAGAGGAGGGTGATGTCACACCACAAAGGAAACCACCGTGAACCACTCTGCAGAACCCTTGGTGAGTGCGCAGGGCCAGGGACTGGGCCTGTCAAGAATAAAGCCATAGGTTCTGCAAAACTGTGGGCGCTGAGAAAAAGTGAAAAATGATCTTGAAAGATAAGGTTCAACCCATAAGAAGGGACACTTGTAGGAAAGGTAGGAAAGTAGGAAAAGCTGTCAAAACTACAGAATTCACAAAAGATTAAAAACTCTTCCCTAAGTGTTGAATGGTACTGGAGTGATTAACAGCTTAGTGTGTTTAGGTCATTTTTAGTGAAGGTCTCTGAATTCCCAGGATTTTTTAGCAACTCGCACTAACTGCAAAACCCCTGGCATAAGTGGCGGGTGTCCCTCCCTCCCATGGGCGAGTCGGGCATGTGTGGGTGAGGTGTCCTGTGATCTAGGCACTGGAGCACAGTGGACAGTGGAAGCACTGGCCTCAAAGCCAAGAGGGCGGGTGTGCAGCCCAGGACAGGCCCTTACGCCGGTCTCTCCTCAGCATTTTCTTCCAAGGTAGCGCTCTGAAGCCCGACCCCACCTTGCCAAGCCCCTGAGGATGACGCCAGGCAGGCTGCGTAGGCGATGCGCCAGTCCCTCCAAAAGCGTGACTTCCTGGTGGCGGGAGCGGGCCTCGCTTTCCACGGTCCCTGCCCAGCGGGCTGTTCCGGGAGGCCGAGTGCCAGGCTCAGGACATCTGGCAGGCTGGCTGTGACTCCAGCCACCTTCTCCGAGACCAGAGGGTTGCTGAGCATGGTGTGCTCCGCAGCCAGGACGGCCACTGCCTCTGCGGCAGGTGGAGGCCTCCACAAGGCCTGGGACCCCGCCCTGCCATAAACCTGTGGAACAGCACAGCCCTGTCGGGGAGCCCCACTCAGTTTCAAAGGAACCGAGAAAGAGGGAGCCGGTCTGCCGCTGGTGACATGGGGCCCTGTCAGGTCAGAGCCTTTCCCGGCACCTGTGGGAGGGTGTTCTGTGTTCACAAGGAGCCCTCGTGGATCTGAAGGACAAAGGGATGTGTTCTCTCCGGGACTTAGGCTTTTGAGCTGTGTTTCACTTGTGACTGTCTTAATTTCAGAGGAAAGCTGATGAAAGACATCTCAAAGAGGTAAAATAACTAATTTGAGGGACTGTATTACTGCTGAAGCCAATCGTGCTGATGGAGGGGCACAGGTGTCACTGCCTTGTTGAAAGCATCGTGCAGAGCAGGCTTGGGGTGGCCCCAGCCCCGGGGCCACCGGGAACTTCTTCATCTTCCCTCTGATGGTCAAGAGACAGGCTGGGAGAGTCGAAATGGTTAGTTCAAGAGCACAGTGCTCGTCGGGCAGATAGAGGACTTGAACTCAAGTCACTGGGCCTCCAGCCTGTGCTGTTGCCATCACGCCCTGCTGTGTCCTTATTTGGCTTTGTCTTTGTTAGTGTGTCATGTTCCCCCGGACCTCAGAGTTGACATTTCGCTGTGATGAACCAGCTGCTATGAATCCAAAGATCATTTAGTGTCTCCTGTGGCCAGGTTCTTACATGATTATGTAAGAAACAGAAGGATCAGGGAGCATGTGTGAAGATGTCACGTGCACTCCCTGCATCATAAGTAGGACATTTAATGAAGACTGAGATGAATTCACCAATACCTGGAACTCAGGGCCACATGTCCGCAGCCTGTAGCCGCAGCAACCTGCTGGGGTTTTAAAGGGAGCATAGGTGCTACAGCAGAATTCCATGTGTGACTGTCCACTCACGGAGCATAAGCAGCTAGCATCTGCCTCCCCGTGGGTGCCACGACTGAGATGAGCTCGCGAGGGGTGGTGGCAGGTGGCAGGGGCAGATTGAGGCCAAGGAGTCTCGTGCCTGAGTGTGAAATGCCTACTTTTCAAACAAATCAAAATAACTAACAGTTGGATGTGAGTTCCACTTGTGTGGACGGATAACAAGGTTGGATGGGACGAAACAACTAATTTTTTTTTTTGAGTTGGAGTCTCCCTCTGTTTGAATAGTGACTGACTAAATCGCTCTTTCTTCCCCCTTAGCGTTCATGCCACCAGCCACTTACCACACAGTAGTGTAAAAGATCATTTCTTCTTACGTCTGAATGAGAGTAAGCCCTCACTGAGAGATGAACAAGTCTTTTAAATCGCTCCCCTCTCTGGCGGTCATGGCTGACAGGGAGGAGAGGCTCCCAGTAGAGTTGCAAGTTCAGTCGCTAGATTCATCAAGGGAGGGAGAAGACGAGGGGGGCGCCGAAAATGGGGAACGGCCTTCCCCCTCTTCCCCGTTTCAACGTCCTTCGAAGGTTGTGTCTGAAAGAATTACACCTGCGTGTGTGCCGCTGGCAGAGGCTTGTGGAGCACAGTGACTTAGGACAAAACGGTGGCGAGATGGAGGAGGCTGGGAGGGGGAGGGGTGCTGAGGAAACAGGCATTGCACGTTTTGTGGGCAAAGAAGTGCAACTCGCATGATTTGAGAAAACTACTCGCTGCAGATGGTTCCAACTCACAGTGCAGAATTTAGAATCAATAATGCCAAATTAGCCCCACGATTTATACAAAACCAAGCACTACAGTTTTTACATTATCTTTAGAGGAAGAAATCATTTTGTTTAGGTCCAAATTCAGAAAATAACTCTCACGCTCTATGCTGGCAGAATATCTGAACAACTCTGGCAAGTCATGACAACCCAAGAATGCCTGCTTTAAATGGGGGCTTACAACATTTTACAGGGAACACTTTCTAATAAACAGCTGGCTGGCTGAAGAACCAGATTCATAAGCTCGTGAGTTGTAAATATAAAAGTTGTGTGCCATGGGGAAAAAGAAAAAAAAGCATGGTCGCATCGTTGATACTGGCCAAATAGCCACAGAGGACCCCTGGGTGGCTCCAACATGGCCGTCTTTCCATATATGGGAAGTACACCTGTGGCTGGGTGTGTACACGGACACTTCAGTGTGCATACTCGAGGTGACTGTGCTCTCCCACAGACTATGCAAAGCAGAGTCACATTTGTATGTGAGAAATCTGGTCCTCTGCCATATGTAAACCGAGTAAATTTCCTCCTCCCCTGAGTCCCCCAGATAGATCCAGGGAGAAGCCATGAACTGGGACAATTAATAAAGAGGTTCTACCATTGAAACAACTCATGAGTTTCTCTAGTGGAAGGAGACGGAGGAGATCCAGGGACTCACCTTCTCGCCTACATGGCCATTCTCTCCAGGCTGGCTTTCCAGCTCTTTCCAGAGATCTCCCTGTCTGTGAAATGTGGTGGCTTTCTGTGTCTCCTACTTCTGCATGTCCGAAGAGTGGCCATGGGTACTCTAGGCTGACTGCTGCCAGGCGCGCTTGTCACCTCTCTTACTAAACTCAAGGCATCGCCCTACATGGGGAGCCACACTCAAGGCCCTGGGCCTGCTGTTAGGTTTGGCTGTAAAATTGCACAGGAGGATTTCAGGAGCTGCCAGCCAAGTTTGGTTTGGCCAACTTAGAGAACTACAGTTATATCAGCCTCTCATTCGACAAACAACTGTGTTTAAATCAAATAAAGCTTCAGTCTCCAGGGAAGCTGATCTTAGAATAATGGCATTCTGTCTCTGATTATAGAGCCCCCTTATTAATTGCTAATTCTTTATTCAAAACAAAACAAAACCACCCACAAAGCATTACCATCTACTTCTAAGGAGTAAGAGGTTCTTTATATATATGCACTCCCCAAACCCCTCTCTCCAAACTTCCAGGTTCTAAATACTTGAGATTTGTGTGACCCTTTACAAATTGAATATTTATTTCTAACTATTGCCTTTCCAAAAGGGATAGTTCAATAGGACAGTGATATGCTTAATGGACTGTGTTTTGGGACCCCTGTCCCCTCCCTTCTGTCAGCAAGGAACCTGGTTTCTGCTTCACTTAGTGAGAGTCTTAAGATGGAAAAAGTTGTCACAGATTTCCCCCAAATGTCGTTCTCACAATAAAAGACACAGTTTTAGAAATGACAGCAATTTGAGCAGAACTCAAAACACCGGGCACAGCAATAACTATAAATTTTTTAATTCCAAAAACAAGTGTGTGCAAGTGTTCTGTGATTCAATGAGGGCCCCTCGGCTTAGAGAGCAGGTATGTGTCCCATGAGCACGGTGGCTGCAGGTCGCTGGGGCAGCTGGAGAAGCCTGATGATTCCACGCTGGCTTCCATGCGCCCGACGACTCAATTTCTCAACTCACCTCCTAATGTATCCTGGCTCATCACAGAATACTTGAGACAGGACTGCATGCACGATCATGGTTCTTGTCATAAAGCTGCCACTATTTTATGCTTAACATCTGCATAAATGCGATAAAGAGGTCTGGTTTTCTGTACACGTAGATTTAGCCTTCACGCGTTTGACCAGCGGGTGGTGTCAGATGTGCTGCTGTTCGTGTCTTTTTCATGGTAACAGTAATGCATAAAGTGCCAACTATTCAACATGCAGTTGTCTTATTTTTATCAGGACAGGAAGGAGTTATTCGTGGGCTCTACTTACTCTAGTTGTTTTAAGATACGAGATGACTTTTGTAAGAGTGTGGTGCCGTCCGTGTCATGCTGCTCTGGGCAGCATAGTGCAGGGCGGGGGTGGGGGGTATTTTTTCATCATTTAAGAAGACTTTATTTTCAAGAACCTGAGATAAAGTTATTGTTTTCTAGAATTACTCTCCTTTGGTCACAGGAAGAGCCTCCCCGCTGATCGCAAGATTAGATTTTTTTGATTTGGGGGGTACAAGGAACAGGGGGGAAGCCAGTCTCTCCCCCCCCAGACGCACCCATCACTGCTCGTCTGAAGCACTTTGCTGCGAAGCCGTGTCATCCAGGCCCATGTCTTCCTGGCTTGCCCTCCTGCAGATCACCCCGACATTCTCTGCCATGGCCTCAGCACGACGTTGGTCACGGAGCTGCCGCTGCTCAGTGGCATCCGTGGGCTCACATGGCTCGGAGAAGTGCTGCCAAAGAGAAGAGAGAAGCAGCTCACAGCTCAGCAACACCCACGTCTCACCAGCACCCCCCACCACCCTCTGGCTGCAGGAATGAAGGGCCAGTGCTGCAAACTCGTGAGGTCGGGCTCGGAAGTCAGGCCAAATGACAGGACAGCAGGGCCATCTTGGAGGAGAGGAGGTGCCATTGAAGCCGTGTCTCTGACACGCGGACCTCTGCATGTGGGGCCTTTTCAGGTCATCTGGACATGCTGGGAAAGAGCTGGCCTGTGGGAAAAGCCATTCGTGCGCCTGGCTTTCTCGTGTCTTGGTGTCATGTCATACACACTCAGCCCCTGTCATGCATGCCGAGTTCCGGCAGGTTTGATCCTCAGCAGTAACAGAGGCCTTTTAATTCGGGGTGCACGTGGTCCTAAGGTCTGTTGTCCTTTCTGGAGAGAGGGAAGGAGAATTTGCCAGAATCCCAAAGCCACACCCACATATTGTGACTTAAACACAGATTGGGGTTGGGGAAAGGAGTGATATTTAGTGCCTTTTTATTGGGGGGAAAAAAAAGGAAGAAAAGTTTATACCTTTAGTTACCTGACTAAACCTAGGACAAACTCTTGAAATAGCCAGCTCTTTCCTCTTGGCTGGCTTGGCCTGGGGCTCCAGGAAGCCCACAATTCCCTCTTCTCCCCACGAAAGATGGCACATGGTGGCTGTGACCCAGGGCTCCTTCTAGGCGGGCCCAGCCTTGGTTCCACTGGGCAGGAGGAGGAGGGCGACATGGGACTGTTAGGGGGGGCCCCCTCCCTCCACCTGAAAACCACAACACCTCAGCCAGAGGCTGAGCCGCTGACTTCATGCTGGACAAAGAGCACAGACCGTGGGCAGGAAAACATGTAGACCTTGGAAGGGAGAAGGGGAGATGTCCAGCCCTGCCCAATTTTTTCCTTAAATCCACTGGTTGCCCCCTCACTACCATGTCACATAAGAGAGCTGCTAGACACTTATTTATGTACGTTCTTTGTCACTTAGGAAGCTCCAGTTGTCATCTGATGTTGGCTACCTTGGAATTCTGAAAAATTACTATGTTTCGGCGTACTGGGTTAAAGTCCTTAAAACTCTTTTTCTAATATTTTAAATACCTAAAAGTAGTGGGTCATCTCACCAGCTTTAAAATGAAGTCTGCTGGATGGGAATCAATGATCATCTACCTCCAGCATTGACAGGTGCTCGTCTCTCCCCCTCAGGCCAGAATAACGCAGGAAGAACATGAAGTGGCCCTTCCCACAGTATGGATGGGTAGACAGCCTCCTCCCGCCCAGCCCAGGTTCGGGGCTGAAGGCAATTGTTCTGCTGAACTCTTGGGCCTGGCAACCCCGAGGATGCCTTCTGGGCGCTCCTGTTTCCAGGACCTGTGTCTGTCTGCCTCAAAGAGCGTGCCTTTGTCACCCCAGGAGTCCTGTCGAGGAGGGGATGGGGTTCCACAGGCAGACGGTGGGGGCATGGGGCAGGTGACACGCACAGGCCAGGAGCCCCTGCCACCACCAGGCCACCCCGACAGCCGTGCCCAGCCCTTACCCGTGCGGCGTGGCCAGCGGCCCTGGCCGAGGGGCCCATCGCAATGTTGACGCTGCTGGAGGACTGGGTGTCACTGGTGTTGCCCCCCTCGGCGGCCGAGAGACCCGAGATGACCAGAGCACTGGAGAAGCTCCTCTTGCCAAAAAGGAAGCTCAGGGTGGAGCTGGTGGAGGATCCCAGGCTGGACCTGATGAGCGCCTCGGCTCGCTCGCGGACGCTCAGGTGGCCCGTGGTGGTGACGGGCGGGGGCTGGGAATGCAGTGACGTGGCCGAGGTGTGCAAGGAGAGCCGGCTGCCCGAGAGCCTCTGGGCCAGCTCGTGGACGGAGGTGGACGTCTGGAGGAAGGCCTGGCGGCTCTCTAGGATCGGGCCTGATGAGCTCAGGGTGGGCGGCCTCTGGCTCAGGGCGGAGCGTGCCTGGACAGACTGACTCCGGCCTTTCCTCCTGCCTTTAAAAAAAACAGAAAGCGCCGTGGAAGCAGGTAGTCACAGACTAGGTCCTGCCTGGTGAAGTGGGTGGCCTGCTCTGCCCTGGCCTGAGGAGCCCAGTGCAGCCCACCAGTCGCCAGGCTGGGACCAGGCCTGGAAGCCCGATGTGATCTCCGCCACCGCCCTCCTGCCAAGTCCAGGCTCCGAGAACTGAAGGGCCCACCCAAGGGCACCCAAGGGTGGTGGAGGAATGGAGAGCTGCAGCTGGGTGACAGGCCAGCCTGGTTGTCCCAGGACTTCCTTGGTTTTAGCATCCAAAGTCCTGCCTCCCTGGAAGCCTCTCAGTCCAGGCAAACCAGGATGACACCAGCAGTGACTTGGCCTCGTAAAGCACATCCGAGTATGTTCCTGGCTCGAAACCTTGGTTCCGATGCTCATCTGATGGGCAGTAATAAAGGAGAACGTGCAGAGTTTTTCAGCGTTAGTTGCCATGAAAAAAGAAAAAAGGGGAAGAGGAGTTGGAGCCATACTGTGTGGGCTTCGTTTTCTAGAGCATTTTCCCCTTGAGATGGGGTCTTTCAGGTGAAGCCCTCACAGGCCTGCATGTGATTGGCCAGGCCTAGGCCTCGGTTCACGTGGTCCTCTCACCTGGTGTCACCCTGGCTCCCCTTGCCGGCTGTCCCTTCCCAGGGGTCCCTCCCAGCCCCAGCCCTTGCTGACACTTGTCTAGACAAGTCCTTGCTTGGACAGAGGGGCTAGACTGTCCCCAAAGACCTGGTCCTGCCCACGCCTCTGAAGAAGGAAAATTTCAAGTGGGTCTTCTGTACCTATGTACCTGCACAGTAGATGCTTATATCCTGAGCCGTGAGAAGGACACCAGTAGCGCTTGCTGGAACACTGGGTTGCTTAACGTAAGCATCAGTAACCACTTGGATCTAATGCTAAAATACCGTTTGGGTGGGAGCAGCTAGTGAGGCCACAGTTCTACCAGTTGCCTCATCAGCATACCTCCCGAAGCTGCTACAATTAGGCATTGAGTCCTAACAAATCGAGGTGGCTGAGGCCTGGGGACCAGGAGGGACATTCCGTGTGTGATCACATCTTCCACCAACCCCCAGACACCCACGGTATTGACCATCTGGTGGTTCTGAAATATTTATGCCCCCGGGAGAGCCCAGTAAGCGACACATCATTTGAGATGTGACTCCTTGGGGACCAGCGCTACTAGAGAGGGTCCAGGGGTCCCCTCCAGCCCTGCTTCTCCTCCTCAAGTGGCCTGTGGCTGAAGGGACCTTTCTGCCCTTCTTTGGCTGCAGTGCCGGTTTGGACACCATGACGGTGGGGTGCTCATTTCCAGAGGGCACTGGTTCCCACCTCACTTTCTCCTGCTACATGCTGAGACAAGAGGGCGCTCACCCCCTAGTGCTGGCCAGGGTCCCACAGGAGGGTGCTCGGTCTCCCTGGGGCAACCATACTCAGCTCTGGGTCTGCCGCCCACCCCCCTTTGCCACAGGAGCGGGGTACAGCCTGACCTGAAGGTCGCAGCTGAGTAGGTGAAAATGTTGCGCTTAGAAAAGGAGGGAAAAAGGGACCCTGACTAATCAGAACAAAGAGCAGGAACGGTGATTTGTTAGTTTACACAGAGTCTGGCAAAGCTGAACATCTGCTGGTGATTTATACTGTAAAGCTGGTCACTGTCCAAAAATACTCCACATTCCCCTGCAAGCCAGTGACTTGGGTGCTGCTAGAAGACCATCCGTACTTGGTGGGGGGCTTCCCAGCTCATTCCAGGAACAAAAGGACAAGTACCCCACTGTGTGTCAAAGGGGAAGGGTCTGCAGTCCATGCAAGACAAAGACTTCTCCTCCCCCACCCCCAGTTTCAATGCTTCAGATTTTCTTGTTGCTCTTGATTTAAAAAAAAACATTTAATTTTGCAAATGGAAAAGCACCAAATAAGCAAAGCGTGCTGCATGCACTTAACACTACTCAGAATCATTCTTTTACCAATTCTTATTTTGCCAATTACCGTACTACCAAGTCATGAATGTCTCTAGGCAAAACTTCCTAAGAAACTGAATGGAAACACCTTATCTATAAACCACCTTCTTTGGTTCATTACCTTGGCACTTACTCTCTTCATCTTTGATGTTACCTGAAAGGTGGTGGAGCAGAGACCTACAAACACAAGAGCACAACCTTCCTCGCCAATTTGGGATTCAGATTAGTTATGAATTCCTCACTGTTCATCAGTAAGTAGGTCACCAGCCTCCACTGCTGGGCCCAGTTCCCTTCCAGCTGTGACATAAACTTTTTACACCGGCAAGAAGATGGCAGGTGGTAGGGCCCTAGTTGGAGGCCGGGGCAAGAGCACCTGGGTGTGCGCAGAGCAGCAGATGCCACATGGTGTGGCTGGCCGGGGGACTCAGGCAGGAGGGGCCTCTGAACGTCTGGGAAGGGCTCAGGATTGGGACATCTGGTGGGAAATGAGACAGGGACCGAAGAAAGGAGGGGGCAGTTAGGTCCCCAGTTATGGGAGTTGAGCCTTGGTGACTAAGTGAAGCAAGACCCCTGTTAGAATTTGGTCCAAAGTCACCCTTCAAAACTGCTCACTCTTTGCTGCTTGGCTAAGTGTGCCCGTCACGCCCTTCCCAGAGAGACAGGACCTCTGCCTCCGAGAAGCCCCACCGTGACCACCTCTCAAATGCCACTTGGCACACTGTGTCCTGATTGATATATGGTCCTCTCCACCATTTGTCCTGACTTTCTGAAGCGAAGGACTGCTGCGTCATTGCCATAAGCTCAGCACCCAGCCACTGATGGGCGTATAAGGTACACGAGGGATAAAACTGCCAAAACTGACCTGGCGCCAAAACCCTGATTAGGGACCCCGTGAGTCCCGGAACGTTGGGGGATGGGTACAGGACTTCTTAACTTTGGCCATTAAAACAATTTGGGAAGATTAAAAAAATACCTCTACCTAGAGGCTGAGACCCACAGCTGAGCACCTGCAAAAGGGCCCAAGGGCAGACTGGAGGGTGAGGTCCAGGAAGCTGGGAAAGCAATATTTCTCCATGGTTCCGGCGTCAAGTACAAAGATGCAGGACCAGGAATGTCCTCCCTGTAACTGAAGACTGGCCTCCACTATCCCTGAGCAGGCCCCCGGCCTGGGGACTCAGGGAGCTGTGTCTCAACTCTCCGGGCATGGCTGTTGGCTTCGGCGGGGAGGTGGGCCAGAAGGCCGGGGGAGCCCCAGGCTGCCATCCTATCCGGTTATCTCTGCAGCACCCCAGGGCTTCCCTTGGGGGAGAGTGGCCTGCAGGAACGGCAGGTGGGTGGCTTCCCCAGGTGTGGCAGGCAGGAATGGTCAGGCCAGGTGGCGTGGCTCCTCCCGGCGTGGGGACCTCTCTCTCGGAGCCTGCTCTCTTTGGAGCCCCAGGAGCCTCCCATGCTTGGGGCCTCGGGCCCAGTGTCTCGAGGTGAATGAAAACTTCAGGTCTCCAGCCTCAGCAGGGCTAGAAACCGCCTCCCCCTCAATTCCCACACTATGCATCCGTGAAGGAGGAGGTTGGAATACGGGACTCCTGGGCAGGCGCCGGAGAACACGAGCCACTGAACGCAGAGCTCCTGCCACGTACCTTGCAGACGTCTTCCAGCATCTGTTGTTTATCAGGTGCCGAGGATGCTTGGCTTCTCCGAGGCTCAGGGCTCCAATGTGGGGGGAGGGGCGTTTCTAACTCCCGAGGGGCAGGGGGGATCTCGTACCACCCACGGGGAAGGAGCAAGTGCATGAAACACCTGGGAAGGTGGCAAATGCCACACGGTGGCTGTCGTCACAGGGGAGTCAAAGGAAGGTGACAATTTTTCCAGGAGGCAGGGGAAAGAGATGTCTGTCTCCGAGTGTGGGTTAGGCAAGCTGTCCCTTTCCCATACCTGTTTCAGGCCTTTCTAGATTTCTTTCAGGGGACCTGCTATGCCCAGGGTGTCTCCAGAAGTCCCTGCTGCCTCGAGGCTTTCCTGTGAGCTCCAGATGCTAGTTTCAAGCAAATCCACACACCTGCTCCATCCTTGTGCACACGAGTTTGGACTCCAACCCTGGCCGGTCGGCCTCCCCAGCGTGAGAGTTTTGTTTATCCCACCAGTCATAAGCTTTAGATAAAAGTTGCCCCGGGAGCTTCTACTCAGACTGGAATTGCAGGGCAGCTGCTGTGGCAGACGGTGAATGTGGAGATACCTGGGCGGCTCAGGTGGGGTGGGAGGGCTGCCCCTAACACCACCTTCTGGGACGTGTGCCCCACACCCCCCCTTAGCTCACTGGACCCCCCTCAGGGACTCTAATCCAAATGGTCTGCAGGCGGCTGATATGCAGTGTGCGCATTCCTCACGGGACCCCCAAGGATCTCTATGACAACTGGAGAAGGTCTGGCGGTTCCAGGGGTAGAGACATGGCCTGCAGGGGACCATGCCTATGGTCCTCCTCTCAGGGAGGGAGGCCAATCAGCTAGCATTGAGGATCTCTCTTCCCAGGGCCCTGTCATCAAGCACCACCAGGAGCGCCTTCTGCATGCAGAGTGGGTCTGCGGTGGGATTCCAACATGGAACTTGGGGGACAAAGGATGGTGCCTTTCAAGAAAGCCAAGAAGATCAGCAGCTCCTGGCTCCCCTTGCTCTTGGGTGTGATGAACGGAGCCTGGCTACAGCTGGAAACCCCGCTTGGGAATTCTGAGCCCAAGGCCTGGTGGTCCCGCCCTCCAGGGAAGCCACAGTGGAAGCTGGGAGAGGGGACCATCTGCTCATTCCTTCAGATAGTGTCCAGTGAGCCCAGAACCACTCTTACCTGAGCAGCCACCCAGCCTGGCACTTTGGAGGCTCCTGTCACCCCCTCCAGTCTTATCTCTCCCCCACAGGGCCAGGAAGCTATGGAGACAGGGGCATGCCAACCCACACCCATGCATTTCTGCTAGGCCGTATGTCGGGTCCTTGGGATGCCAGAGTTCCTTGTCCTAATCTGGGTCCTGCACAGGCCTCTTCCTTAGGCTCCCCTTGCAGGGAGGAGGCCTTGGACCCTCCTGCAGGTGTGTATCCCCAGATGGGCACATAGATGAGATGGGTCCAGCGGCGCATACCGCCTCTCACTGGGCAGGATTCGAGGAAAGCGGGGAAGAAGCTGGCATGGTCTCCACGTGTGCCCCCGTCCCAGGCCCTGCACAAGGCAGGGCAGCCCAACCGAGCGTCCACCGTGGCTCAGCTCACAGTCCCCACCCCTGTGGGGGAATTCTGACCATAGACAAGGGACCAGCATCAGGCAGTGACTGGAGGGGAAGAGGAGGTAGGACAGAGGAGCGGACTGCTTCGTGAAGGCTGGCTGGGGTTTCCCGGAGAAGAGGGTGTTTGATGGGAGGCCGAGTGAGTGAGTGAAGGAGCCCTGAAACCAGAAGAAGCGCCTTCGGGGCACGGGAAACAGCCACGGAAGATGCCTGAGGAGTGCACTTGAGATGGGCGACGGCCAGCGAGAAGCCAGCTGACTGGGCAGCTGGGTCAGGGCCAAGAGGAGGCGTCTGAGAGACCGCAGGCTGGGGAGAGGAACGTTGGGGTTTTGTTTGGGGCTGAATTTCGGGCCTCTGCCCCCAAGTGATATATTGAAGTTCTAGCTACCTGGACCTCAGAGAGTGCCCTTATTTGGAAACAGGGCCGTTGCAGATGGAATTAGTTAAGATGAAGTAATAACACTGAAGTAGGATGGCCCCCGAGTCCAGTGTGACCAGCGTCCCCACCAAAGGGGAAACCTGGACGGACACACACACAGGGAGGACGCTGTGTGAAGATGGAATCGGAGATCGGGTGATGATTGGACAAGCCGAGGAACGCCCAAGATGGCCAGCAAACTACCAGCCGCTGAAAAGGGCCTGGGAGACAATCTCCCTCGTGGGCTTCAGGACAAGCCAGCCCTGCTTACACCTTAATCTTGGACACGAGAAGCTGGTGTTAAGCCTGCAGGCTGTGGCATCTGTTACGTGGTGTTTGTTACGGCAGCTCAAGCAGATCCGTACAGGTCTATTCTGAGCTGAAGTCATAAGTTAGAATATAATCCCTGGCCGCTATGTGAGGAAGAGGTTGATGGTTTTGTGAGTTGTTAGAGCTGTAGGAAGGATAGAGAGAGAGAGATGGCAGGGGGGAGTTCTTTCTCCTTTGGAGTGAAAGGAGGGGCAGGGCTTGTTCCCTCTCCCCTGGCCCCTTCCAGCGCTCTGACCCACTGCCAGGGACACAAGCTTCAGGACCGCTTTCCCAGAGGCGGCAATGCCTTTTCCTCAGCATGTCATCTTGAGCCAGGAAGGGACCCCGGCCCCACGCTCGACCCCTCCCTGCCCATGGTGAGGAAGGAAAGGAGTCCTGGTCGGCTGCTTCAGAAAGAACTGGATATCAGCTTTGCCTGCTTGGCAGGGAGCAGAAGGAAGATCACTTGTACGGGAGCTCTTGCCAGCCAGGGAACAGGACCATGTCAGACTGGGCAGGGACTTGGGTGGCAGCACAGAGGGGACGCCGGGAGTGAGGGTGGTGGATGAGGTGTTAGGTGGATACTGGCTTCTGTCAGCTCATGCCCAGGGCTGGGGGCAAGGATACTTGAGGTGAGGCAGCGTCCTCCATCCTGGACAACAGGACAGTGCACGGAGGTTAGGATCGCAGGTTCTGGGGCCATCTCGCCTGGGTCTGAATCCCAGATCAGCCAGTTCCTAGCTGGGTGACTTTGGGCAGTGACTTAGCTTCTCTGTGCCCTAATCTCTTTGCCTGCAAGATGCCTGCAAGATGAGGAGGGCGGAAGTGCCTTGATCGCTAAGAGCCGTGGTGAGGATTCAGTGAGTCTGTACACGTAAATCACTCAGGATGGTATTGGTAGAGGGCACCTGAGAACCGGCACCCTTGACCATTATCACTGCAGCAAGGATACGGTGAACACGGCTGAGGGCAGAGACAGAGCAGGGTGGCAGCAAAGTGGATGAGTCCGAAGTTGTTGAGGTTTCCCGAATCCCTCCATAAACCCCCAGCAGGACAAATCCAGGCTGCAGGTGGGGCTGAGGGTCATGGGCTACTTGGCCAGGCAGGCTCCCTCAACTTGTCAAACACAGAAAGCCAAGGGTGGCAGGGGCAGCTTTAAGAAGCAACAATGAAAAATTAACAGCTGGTTTGGGCTTTAGAAGAGCCTGCTCTGCAGTAAGCATGTCATCTCAACACGTGGAGGTCGATAACCCCCAAATCCACAGCAGCTGCAGGAGGTGGAAAGCAGCAACCTCGGGGAGGGGAGTGTGGGGAGGGGAGGGGAGAGACCAGTGATTTGTGTTTTGATCCGGGCAGTCCTGCTTGACTTTTAAACTATGCTGATCCTATTGCCTCATACATTTTATTTTATTTTAAGAATTAATTTTTAAGCAAAATTCTGTTTCCACAAGCTTCCAGAAGACATCCTAAACCTTTCCTTCAAGGTACAGCTCAAGTCCCATCTTTCTTGCAAAACCTTTTTTTAAAAAGTATAAAGATGTGGCGTACAACTCAGGGTTAGGTACACAAACGCTGATTATGCAGGTGCCCTTGTTGATGAGGTATGCCCCTCCCTCCCCTAGCAGTTTCCCTCAACTGCCAATCCCACCCCCTCTCCACTGACAGTTTCCCACTACTGCCAATCCCTTTCTTATAGCTGTTTGATACATTTTAAGTTAAAAACTAAAAAAAAAAGGATTCTGCTCCAACACCTGCCACAAAAACCTACGATTGCTTCTGTAAAGCAGGAAGTGCTCACTACCTATGATTTCAGACTCTGAGGATGGGGAGGGACACCGGCTGCTCCAGGCCAAAGCAAGTGGCGGGTGGAAGAAAGAGAAGGTGTTTCCAATTTCTTTTCTACCAAACTTCGAGAAACCAGGTACACAGCTCCAGGGCACACCCAGCTCTGACCTCCCTTCACCCCCAGTCAGACCCCCCGAAGCTGCCTTTCTCTGGTCCAGCCAAGTCATCCAGAAGTTCTCGCAAAAGCCACACGCTCGGGCATTTCCCCATTCGGAAATTCCTCTGCATTTTCCCATCTGGCCAATAACTTATGTGACCTCGAAGCATACATTTTTCAGTCAACAACAAATGCTAACTAAGCAAGGAGATGTTCTGGCCTGGGAGCCCTCGGGCAGGCACTCTGGGGGGCTCATGGCAGACAGCATCCAGCTAGGCAGGGAGAACTCGTGTTTTCTTCTGAGCAGCTGATATCAATTACTTTGTCTAGTTACCTGCCCACCCGCCTTCCTATCATCTATCTATCAATCTATTTATCAGCCATCTATCTCTATCACTCTGTTCGACCCCCCAGCCCCTGCCTTTCATCTTGCACGTGTTTATATAAATCCTACTTCCTCAGTTCAATCCTCTGCCTGGGGCACTCCCAGGAGGCAGGGACTACCCCTCCCAGCTTATTTGGGGCAGAGCTGACGGGGGAAGCATACCCAGAGCTGCTCACTGAATGCTTCTGGATGATGAGGAAGAACTGAGCCCAAAAGGCGAAACCACTGACGGTCTTCAGAGAGCGGAGCCAATGGCCAGCAGGAACCAGGGCAGACTGTCTTGTCTCTCTCACATTCCCAGGACACTGATTCTCGACCAACCTTTGGAATCTCCTTTCTAGCCCAGCTGTCCCCTCCCCAGCATAGACCTCCGCTGGGGCTTTGGAACTTCACCCCTCTGGTCGAGGTCTAACACTCTGGGTATTCACTTAAACAGCATTTTAACTTAGACTCAGCCTGGACCTGGCCACAGCTGCCCTCTCCACTCCTGTCTGCAGGCAGCCGTCCTCCCTTCTTCTCTCCTCCCCTGAAATTCCATGCATAATGGAGGAAGGGAAGAGTCAGAGAGGAGCAGGACAAGGAAGGCCTGTGTGCATGCCACCAACCCTTGCCAGAAGACCACATGGGCCGGTAGCAGCAACACAGTCACACACAGAAGACTCACGATCAGACGGTCATTGAGTGAGAGATGGAAAGGAGTGACCCCTGGACAGGGGGGCAGACAGATGAATGGCTGGCCAAGGTCATGGACAGAGAGATGGATACATGAGAAAAGCTCTATACAACAGAAAGATACCTTTTTCCTAAGTAGAATCTGCAGGAGTCAGAAAATTTCAGGCCTCCGTGGGCCCAATGCTGGCTTATTCCAAGCACACGCTCAGCAACAATGTAACTCATGGCCTTGGTCGCTGGGACCAAACAGGCCTTTATCAGTGGCCCCGAGGACCCCTGGACCCACCTGTCCTCTGTGTCCCTTCACGAGATGAGGCCCAGTGCTGGGAGCCATCTTTTCTGGGCTGCTCTGCGCTGCTTTCCTGACTGCCGCCACTCGGGACGCCACTGCCACCTGCCGCCGGGGCCCCTCCGCCGTCCCCATCCTCAGCGTGGCCGCTGCTGCGCTGGCGGGCATCGCAGTCCTTCCGCATCCTAGGCGAGGGAGAGGTGCTTCCAGGACCTCACCGATGCATTTCTCATACCCCTCCTTGCCCCGCCATGCCTAAGTCAGGCTCGAAGACCACGCGCCCCACCTGGGATGCAGGTGAGGCGGGGAGCTTTGGTTCCCCAAACCTGTGTCTCATAAATGCACCAGCTTCAGTGTCAGCCCTCCAGAAGAATCCTTAGCTTTGAGGTCTGATAAGGAGCTCCGCCATGTTCAGGCCAAATGGCTTCGCATTCATCCCACATAACCCAGCAGCTGATTTCTACAGTCAGGCAGCAAGACTCAGCAGATGCGAGACGTGTGCCTGGGAGCGCAGGCCTGGTCCTTGGTACCAGGTGTGGGACGACCATTATCACCTTGGCAGCTCTGCGAGCAACCAGATTCCAGCCTCTGCCAGGGCCGGGGATGGAAACCGTCACCCATGTGAGATTTCCCTGGATTCATAATCTGAGATTTCTTGCGGAAACAATCTGTTTGGTGCTACTTGGGTAGAGCACTTTTAATCATAGGAGAAACGGGCGTCGCCCGGGAAATTCCAACCAGAAGGGCAAGACCTCCCTGCCTCCCTTCCCCCTCCCCCCTCCAGCTCCTCCCACCCCTAAGTCTCCCAGCATCCAGACAGAGGTCTTCTCTGTCAAAACCTACCTCAACCACTTGGTCCGCAGCCACATCCTAATGCTGTCCAGCGTGACGGGTCCGCGCCAGACGTTCTTTAGCTGCCTGTGGGTCCCTAGATAGGATGTGGTCAGCGGAGAGACATACATGGGGTAGCCCAGCGGCTGATCACAGGAGGAATTAATCAGGTTCCGCAGCACCTGCTTGTTGTTCTGGATGCTGCCACGCTCCGGATTGCGGTTGCGAAGGAAGATGAGCTCCTGCTGCTGCCCCGCCCAGAGCCCTCGCACGCATTCTTTGTTAACCTGCAGGTCAGGGGGGCACAGGGGAGAAAGGCAGATGGCCCGTGCGTCCGAGTCTGCTGGTTGTCACCTAGAGTGAGCGAGCAGATCCCTGGGACTCATATCTGTGACTTCTACACTTTGTTTTTGCTTTTTGAGTGGGAGTCTCACTCTGTCGCCCAGGCTGGAGGGTAGTGGCCGCTCCCGGCCACCGCAGCCTCGACCCGCTGGGCTCCGGCGATCCTTCCGCCTCAGCCTTCCAAGGAGTCGGAACTATAGACTTGTGCTACCACACCCAGCTAGTTTTTGATTTATTGTAGAGACGAGGTCTCTCCAAGTTGCCCGGGCAGGTCTCGAACCCATGGGCTCAGGCAATCCACTCGCCTCAGCCTCCCCAAGTGCTGGGATAACAGGCTGAGCCACCGAGCCCGGCCATGGGACTACTATGCTTTGGCCCAAAGCGCTTTTCACAGTCAAGCCTGAATAGCCATCCTGCAAGTGAGAGATGGTGTTGTTTTCATGGAGAAACGAAATGAGAAGAAAGTCAAGTTCTTGTTTTAGCCCGGTGATTTGAAGTCGTATGAAAGAGGAATCACTGGGAATAGACCCTCGGATCCAGGCACAGGTTATTAGAGAAAGGTGTGGAACGCTAGAGAATTAGAACGTCTTCAAACAAAAGGGAGATCCTGACCCTCATCTATACGTGTGTCTGCTGGGACTTCTGCCCAGAGGCCCTGCCTACAGGCTGGTTCTGCGGTGGGCGGATTGCAATCCTGCCGGGGAACACAGCACCCAGCCTGGCTCTGTGGCCAGCGCCCCTCCTGGACAGAGAATACCAGCACAGGGACTTGCATGTCGGTGCCAACCACTATCCTGCTTCTTCTCAAACGTATTCCAAAAGGGAGACCTGGAAAGCGTGGCCGCCGTACCTTGATCACCTTGAAGCTCAGGAAGCTTCTGTGGAGCATGATGACCTTGTACTCGTCGGTGCCCTCGTCCACCACGTGCCGCAGGGTGAGCAGCTCCTCCTTGTTGGACAGCACCGCGCCCCGCCAGGCCGGGTCACCCTCGTGGCAGATGACCACCTTCTTTTCGAAGGACTGGATGGCCTCGTAGAGTACGGCTGGGTCTTCATACTCGTCGGGGCACGTGAACTGGTCCTGGTGGGAAGAAGTCTGTGTGGGCTGGCGAGGATCGGAGGGCTGGCCCTGGGGACCGTGCGGATGGCGGCTGGCCTGTGCTCTCCACAACTGTGTCCTCCCCTCATCTCACCCCCGCAACCGCCGTCCTTTCTCTCAATCCTGAGCTGGGCACAGAGGACAGCTCCTCATCTCCATGTCCTCATGGAAGACACCCAGGAAAGAGTTTTGTGGCTTAGGCTCCTATGACTTTTAGAAATAGTTTGGGCACTTCTGAAATGCCATTGTCTCTGGCCAATACCCCTTTTCTTTCTTAGAGGAATATCACCACCTTCTAGACACTCTTGAGGGCAAGTCGCCATTGGCCATCATCAAGAATATTCAGACGGCCTCAAAGCTTAGTTACCTAAGTAATGAACACACTCAAAATGCCGTGCAGAATAAGAGGACTCTATTTTTCAAAGGCCGTCGTCCCTAAAGTTTCAGACTGATATTTTTTTTTTTAATAGATAGAGTCTCACTCTGTCACCCAGGCTGGAGTGCCATGGTGCAATCACAGCTCACTGCAGCCTCAAATTCCCGGGCTCAAGCAATCCTTCTCTGCCTCTGCCTCCAGAGCAGTTGGGACTAAAGCTGTGTGATGCCATGCCCAGCTAACTTGTAAAATATTTTTAGAGACAGGGTCTTACTATATTGCTCAGGTTGGTTTCGAACTCCTGGCCTCAAGCAATCATCTCACCTCAGCCTCCTGAGTAGCTGGGTGATACTTTTTTTTTTTTTTAAATAGAATTTTTACCTGGTGAAGTTTCAAGGACATCCTAATAGCTGGAGCGACGACTTTATGCAGCAGGTCCATGTCAGCAAATACCCACTCGTCTCGTGCTGTTATTCTAAAGTCACCTTTGAAGAGGGCATGGAGGCCATACAGGAAAGAATCCAGGCTGTAAAACAAAGTCCTGATGACTGTTAATTCACACTAGAGAAACATTCAGAAGCCTGTCCTGGTGAGCAATGTGTGAGTCTCTCATGTGTCCACATCAAGAATTGTTTTTAATATTTTTTGGCTGATCCAGCAAAGAAAGGAAGATATAAATCTGTACTCACCCCAGTGCACCAAATGCCTGGCCCTACAGCCCATGTTCCGGCCCTCATGACAAGTGTGAGTGTCATGCGTGGGAGTTGTCCTCTGTTGTAGAAGCCCCTGAAGTGGCTTGATCTCTGAGTGTCACACGAGAGGTCCAGGTCAGAAGCGGCCTCACCTGTGTGCACTCACAGTCTGAGTGTTAAGACCAGACTGACCTATCCCGTAATCCCACCAGCGCTCAGGGTGCACCATGCTAACTGTGGAGCAACGCCGGCCCCTTTCTTCTTCTTCTTCACATTTCTGGATATCACTTTTAGGCTGTGTTACTCTTAATTAAAATTGGATTCTACCACAGTAAGGAGAGAGGAGAGAAAACCCAATTCTCAGACAACATCCACTTTCCAGTCCCACTTTTTTATTTTAGTGACGAGAGGAAGAGGCAGAATTGTGAGACTTCAAATGAATGATCTTTTAGGACCATCTGGGTTTTCGTGTTTCTGGGCTTCTCCTGCTTTGCTTCCGTTCCCTACACATCACTGAGCATTGCCAGGATGGAAACAGGAGTGTCACCCAAGGGAGATCCCTCAGGGCCTGGAGTCTTTAAATGCTGGATTGAACGTGGTGAGTGGGTTTGGGAAAGCAACTTATTACATTCTGAGGAGAGGAAGAACAGTCCTTCCTTTCTTCTTTTCTTTTTCTATTAATATTCTCTCTCGCAGTCGCCTCTTCAGTCCTGGCCGCAAACGTCCCTGAGAGGCAGTCGGGGGGCAAGCACAAGAAACAACCTCCCCGAAAGGCCTAACTCAGGACAGGAGGAGCAGGGCTGTGAATGTGAGAGGGAGTCTCTGAGGATGTCTGCTCCGAAGGATTGAATGACTTGGCTCATGGAGTAAGACTTCTGATTCAACACTAGACCTACGCATCAGGGAAACGGTTCCATGATTGCTATTTTAGGATTTCATTGTGAAACGTACCCCTCTCTTGACTTTCCCTCTAGAACTCTCTTGAGAGACAGGGTGCCAAGGCTTTGTGGTGTCAGAGCAGCCCGCAGGAGACGGAGCACCCAGGAGAGGGTCAGGTGGGGCTGGGGGTACTGTGACCTGAAGGAGCCCAGAACCTTCCGGAAAGAGACCTAGGACTCAGCTCAAAGCTTCCTAGGGTTGTGAGCTTTGGGGACTGCCAGAAGGTGCCAAGAGGGCAGTTAGAGGGCAGCAGAGCCAGGCTGCAGGAAGGCTGATGCCCAGAGCTGAAGCTTTAAAACATGAATAATGACTGCTGTCTGCTCTCAACTGACAACACTTCAAAATCTTCTCATTATCAGACGGGAGCTCAGTAACATGGGAGGGCTCAATCCCCCCAAATGGGTGGGATTTGTTAAGGATCAGGAAGGCCATGTTGCTTGCTCAGAAAAAAAACTCCCTCCAGATGTAGGGACGGAGACCGTGACAACGGAAGTCTAAGGGACTTGCCCAAATGCCCACAGACAAAAGAGCGAGGAATCCCAGGTGTCAGCCCGCTGTCTGCCCAGCTGCAGCACAGCAGCACAGGGAGGCCATCACCTGCTTACTCACCAGTAGGAGAAACTTAGCTTTTATAGGAGCCTAAGATGTGTGAATCCCTACCCAAGGACCCCAACCAGAGATGTTCTGCCCATCGTTTCTATTTTCAGAGAAAACGACATATCGTGGAGCTTCCTGCTGACTTATTAAAATGACTCCCAGCGTAGAAAACAAAATCTGAGTCAGGATTCCACTAGATTGGGGGTATTATCCCCAGTACCTTAGAGATCAAGGCTTTCTAGAAATAAGGTGTTTCATTATCTGCCATTTTCTCTAGAGAGAACAAAGACGGGGAGGGCAGTACACTGTGACAAGCAGGGGTGGGGTGAAAGGGCAGAGAGGGACAGAGTGAGGTCTCCAGGACACCTGCAGCACATCCATATGGCTCTGCCTTTTTAAGACCCTACTGAGAAATGACAGGCTCCAACAGCTGGAGCTGGGCTTTTATGACTGGGAAACAGTGCTGTGTCTGAGTCATGCGAAAGTGGCCTTCGTGGGGACTAAAACAGCCAGCCGGGGGTGTGACCGAAGCAGGTCGTCCCATCAGAGCCGGTCAGCCGGGCAGTCAGCAGAGCGGGGGGGCCGTGTCCACAGTGCGGGGCGACACAGGGGCATGGCGGGCAGGCAGGACCCTGGCACCTGGTCACTTATCAGAGGAGCATGTTTACACGTAGAGGACCAAAGGCTGTGGCACCAAGACGGCACGGGCTTCCCAGGCACCATGGAGGTGCTAAATACTGTCATAAATAAAAACAGCACTGAAAAAATACCACCCTTTGATATGCTGATGAGTAGCTGACACTTGGGTGCATTTTCTTTTTAACCAGAAAACGCAAGTCTGTTTTGCTTAGGCTGTCACGCTGCACGACGGAGCCCAGAATGAGTCCGTCCCTTGCTGTCTTCCCAGTTCCGCGCCCAGTTTCCTATTAACGGATGACATGACTGGTGGTGACGAGTATAGACGGGAGGCTGGAGGATCAGGGTTAAAGTGCAGTTGCTTACAGCCTTCCTGGACTCAGCTGTTCTCTGCTTGCAGAGCTGGCCACTGCCAAGCCGCCAGCTCAAGATCAACCCAAGGCTGTGCCTCGATGGACCCAGTGCATTTCAGTATCTTTGCCTCTGACCTTTCACGGCAATGACAATTTGGATGTGGCCAGTTGAAGCAAAGGTGGCTTTCTCATGTTTGTACTACAGTTTTCTTTAGCCACAGAGGAGTACCCACGGCTCGGTTCCAGCCAGAGGTCGTTTGCACCCCTCTGAGCCCCATTCTTGTTCAGAATCACTGACCCGCTTAGCCCAGTTGTCACCTGCACCTTATTTTCCAGTGGGTCTCAACTTGGCATGAATTTTGCTCCCAACGGGACACTTGGCAATGTCTGGAAACATCTTGGGGTGTCACAACTGATGGAAGGGGTGCAGAGTAGGGCCCCTAGAAGGTAGAGTCCAGGGTGTCTGCTATAATGTCCAGCATAGCCCCCACCAAAAAGAGCCATCCAGCCTGAAATGTCAACAGCACTGCTGCTGAGAAACCCTGCTCTTTCTGAAAGAACGGTGCTGGAGGAGAAGGACTTCAAGCATTGGACAATGGAGTCTTTATCTTGAATCAGGCTTTATGAATCTTAGGATTCAGAGAGAAACAGCTTTCGTGTGGGATTAGTTTCTATAGAACTCACAGGGCAATCCCAGCACAATGACTGATTGTTCATTTCAGTTAATTTCCAAACAGGCCTGTAAATATTCTGTTGTTTTCGGATTAGCACTATGCAGAGCCTTCTGCTACAGCACGTGGTCATAAACGTGGTACTTACAGAACATATGCAAACAATGAAGTGTGATTTGCAGGCTGGGCTTCCCAGTGATTAGTAAGAGACACACTCAGAGAGTGTGTGTCTCTCTACCTAAGTCACTGTCCCCAGCTCAGGCAGCATCTCCACCTTGGGAACTGCAGCAAGCTCTCTTCCTGTGTGTTTTACTCCCCATGGTGGAATCAGCAACCAGACCCCGGTTTCACAGTTCATCCCCTGACTCCTGACTGACCTCTTCTGCCACAGTTGCCCAAACAAAACAAGGACCTAAAGCAGGGCATGGGGGTGCATGCCTGTGGCCCCAGCTACTTGGGAGGCTGAGGCAGGAGGATCAGTGGAGCCTGAGAGAACAAGACTGGAGTCAGCCATGATTGTGCTACTACATTCCAGCTTGGGCAACGGGGTGAGACCCTGTCTCTCAACAATAACAACAACAACAATAACAACAATGAAACCTCACAACAATCCAGATGGCTGGTGCCAACTCCAGGAAGTAAAAGTGAGGCAGAGAAGATGACACCTTGCATTTTCCAGGCGATTTGTGGAGGGCTAACTACCTTCCATTCCACGAATTCCTATCGTTCTCACAAATGCCTGTATAAGGCATATTATTATAACCCTTCCATATAAGCGGAAACAAGCCAGAAAAAGTCAAGAAAGAGAATGAGATAGGTGAGAACAAATACTCAGGATTATATACCACACTAAAGAGGCCTGGGGGAAAAGAACCCATGGCCACCTCCGGGCTTCCCACCTCTCAGGAAAGAAGGAGCTGCTTTTAAAATGTGTCACTGGAATCATTTCACAGGCCAGCTCAGAGGTGTGTTAGAAAAAAATGACCTCTCCTTTTATTTTATTTTTATTTTTATTTTATTGATTTATTTATTTAGAGTCAGGGTCTTGCTCTTTTGCCCAGGCTGGAGTGCAGTGGTGTGATTCTAGCTCGCTGTACCTTTGAACCCCTGGGTTCAAGGGATGCTCCGGGCTCAATGAATTCTTCCACCTCAGCCTCTTAAGTATCTGAGACTATAGCCATGAGCCACTGTGCCCTCACTGTTTCATTTTTTGTAGAGATGGAGTCTTGCTCTGTGGCCCAGGTTGGTCTCCAACTCCTGACCTCAAGCCATCCTCCTGCCTCTGCCTCTGAAGCTACCGGGATTATAGGCATGAGCCAGCTCACCTAGCTTAGAATGACTTAATCCTCTGAAAGCCTTCCATTGAGCCACGAGAGTGAAAACACTATGAACGTAGTTCTTGAACTCACCCCCTGTCCCCATCCTCCTGAGGTCAGTCTCCAGCAATTTCCTCCCATTTATTTTTTTTGGTTTTTTTTTTTTTGAGTTGGAGTCTCACTCTGTCGCCCAGACTGGAGTGCAGTGGCCGCTCCCGGCCCCCGCAGCCTCGACCTGCTGGGCTCCGGCGATCCTTCCGCCTCAGCCTTCCGAGTAGCCGGAATTACAGGCATGCGCTACCACGCCCGGCTGATTTTTTGA